CTCAAACGTTTAATAATTTTTTTTTCAATAATGTTTTAATAATTTTTTAAACAATTGAAAAAAAAAATTGGAAAAAAATTAAAACTAAACTAGTAAGCAGCGCTGTGCGAACAGCAACTGTAAAACTTCTTCAGGGAGTTTTACAAGTTACGACTGAACGCCTATATTTATAAGCTATTGTTGGCGGCTATTGCGGGGGTCAATGACCATATAGGCTTGGCTGGACCTACGTTTTTTACAGATGATTCCTGGAAAGCAGTTGGCAAATTAGGTTAGGATGGCTCGTGTACTTCACAGAAAATGTGATTTATGTTCTACTTATTCTTTCTTAAATTAAAGTGGTATAAATACCTTGTCTAAAACAGTAGTGTGATACAATAGTAAACGAGATTTACTCGTTCCAATACAGCGTCATGTGATGAACAGCCTTCATTAATTTTAGAACAAGTTTTATAAAATCATTGTACTCTTTCTTGTTCCATCACTGAAAACAGTCAAGGTACTTCGACACAATTCAGTGCGAGAGCTACTGCCACTGGTTTGACTGCAAAAACAGATGAAGAGCCCGATGAATAGATTTGTCCTTCATGTGAACAATAACCTAAAAAATCAGTTTTCCACGAAAAAAACTCCCTCGATTGCGGCCAAGCCATATTTCTCTGGCAGAGCATACTATAAATTAAAAACATCGGTCGCAGCGTCACGCAACATTGCGTGATTTTCCAAACGTGACACGCAATTGCTGCATTATTTTTAAAACTAACCTACATGGCCTTGTAGTAATGAAAGAGGGCTTCATTTGCAAGTACTATAGACTTCAACATAAGAAGAACTTAATGAATCGCTCTTTCAGTTTTCATCTCAGTGAATAAATTATCGAGCCAGAACGAAAAAAATTAATATACGCATGAGTTGGAGCCATTCCTGTCTGAGGTTAAATACACGCATGGCTCCAGTCTCTGGTCGTCCGCCTAAACTGACTAAATGAGTTTTGTCAGCGGAGCTTGTCAGCGGATGACTTTTTCATCGCCGGAATATCGCTTAACGACCTCGCTGAACAAGATAGACTCTGCCTTCTCTTCGTTATGTAAGTAGCCATTTCTTGTTTGACTCATCGGTGTTTTTACATTGATATTTCATTGTTCCGCTTCGAGACACGCGGTTAACAATATCCATCAGGAAGGAGTTAAGATATAACTTATTAACTTTTACTATTTTTATCATCCAATCACAGGTCGGAGCCATTCCTGTATTTATGGTCGCCAGTCCATAACAAGCACAGGAGGCGTTAGCCATGAAAATGGTTTTTAGAAAGCTTCAGAATGTTTTGGTTTTGCTACTTTGTAGTGCATTGCTAATAAGGTTCTCTGATGCAAAAGATTTTCGATACAAGCATTACACTTTCAGGAAAAAACAGAGGCTAGTGAGTATTGGTTAAATTTGCGAAGAAATTCGTGAGGTTGGAATAACAGGTGAAACTAATTCAAAATTTCTTTGAACACTTACTTGAAACCCAATAACGCTTGAGTTTGGTTGCACCTATTTCGTTAAGTTGAATTATGTTCGAGTGTGGAAGTATATTTTCGGGAAGTAAGTAAAACTGTGTTGAAATTAGTTCGAAAGTAAATTTGAGGTAAATTTTAGAAGTACTCTAAACTTGTAGACCAAGGTTTTCTTGTTTTTATGAAAACAAAATAAAACTAATTACGTTAATAATAAAATTCCTTGTTTGTCACAAGAACTCCTCCGTCTATCATATTTTTTCAGGCCAAGAGGTATTCGCCATTGGAAAAAGATTGTGAAACTATAACCTGTCAAGGGTTTGTTGGGTTTGAACTTACTAAATGTAAACGGAAGTGTATATCACAATTCTGCTACAATGAGCTGTATGCCTGGGATGAGGCGAGTATATTTGTTTAATATTTTCAGTTATGTAATCCTGTTATTAAGTACCAGTGTTAATGAGATGTAAGGCTACTTCACATGGATTTATGCCTGAATGTCATTGTATTGAATTTTGCCTGGAATATCTTAGGATCGTGGAGGCCCAAGTACATTGTACCAAATTATGAAACACAATTTCGGACAAAATTAGAGCAGCGCTATCTTTTAGAGCTTTCAAAGAGCAGCTAAAGAAGATTTTCTGTGCAGCTATTCCATAATAGATCGCAGCTGATGGCAATATGTGGTAAGAACAAAAAAGTGACACACGAGGTACAACGTACCCGATATCACCAATGTTTTCACCACGTGTAGACGTCTTCTGTTACCTATAAATGCTGTTAATTTTGACATCTCAACGTCTGTACTCCAGTAGATCCAAATGTGTGCATAATTCAGCTTATAATATAAATTTATTTATATCAGATTTGGCTTGGTGAGATCTGGTCACCATTTCTTGATAAGCTGAGCTTAAATTTTTTGGGGAGCACTGGTCCTGATCAAAGTCTGCAGATTTCTTGGTTTTAGTCGATTTGTGACCGAATACAGTATAGCCGTTTCTGTAGAAATTGTGGAATTGATATTACATCACTGTAAAGCTCTTCTTCTGCTTCTTTTTTTTTTATTGTTCAAAGATTTTGTCATAGCCATTAAAAAACAATTTTATTGTTTTTGCCTCAAGCTTGAGCAAGGTGAGATAGATGTGCGGCTGACATCTTTCAAGGGATGTGTGGTGAAACAATTACAAGATCAAGAGAGCAAGAAGCGTGGCTAATTTTAACAGAAAAAAAATAACTACAAGATTTTTGCAGATCACTACAACTGTTCCTTTTAGTAGTAAACATAGAAAAGAAACATGGGTTTTATCAATAAGGGCCACAAAAGCAGAGCAACGAACTTGTGTGACCTCACTCAAAAACATTCAATAGCAGTTAGCCACTAATTGTAGCTTACAGCAAGGTCAAAGGGTAAACTACTGGAAATTCATAATTGAAGTGTTGTAAGTTTTGTGGAACAGTATGTTCTTTGTTGTACAGTTAGAAGCTCTGGGTTTTAACTATTTATCAATTACATTAATGACCTAAAATGTAACGTACTTACTTTTCTCTTTTCACTTATAAGAGTTTGAAGCACCCTGTTATGACTTTGAAATATTGCATCCTGTTTTAGAAATCCTATTTAATTTACATATCATTTTTAAAAACACAATTTCCACAATCAAGAGGCTGCACTCCTCACAAATAGTGAATGGAGTAAAAACCAAGAATACATGTTCTGTAACTTAACATCAATATTAATCTCATTAATATGAATCTGGACATCAAAAATGAAGAGGTCTGAAATTAGTACAGGCAGGTTACATTTGTCTTTTCCTAGACTGAGCAATTTGTTTGACATGCAAGTCATAAACTTGGGCTGAACCAATGGTTAGATAACACACATTAAGCACATTTTCTAATTGCAAAATTGTTCTAGCTTCTGAAGTTAGATCTACAGTTTTCTGTAAGTTTTCCTCCTACCCACACCTTAGGCAGTTTTGATTGTTTTTCATTTTTCATTGTCTGTTTATAATTTATCACAGATTACCAGCCACCCTTGTTTAGTGTATCTGATGAATACTTTTATGTGCGTAGGATACATATTTAATAAACTGCCTGGTCCCAGAACAAGTCTCAGTCTGTTGTGAATCATCAAGTGTCTTACTTTATTGAAACAGTTCTTTCATGACATTTCAATGCATATGTATGTTTATTTAGTGCAATGACTTTCACACAATGTTTACATGGTGAAGAGTGTAATGCTGCACATCTACCAAAAGGTTAATGTACACAACACTATTTTTGTTTCTAGTCATCACTCGATACCTGTGTTGCTTGGATATAGGTATCTTCCAGAATTTAGAACAGCATGCTGTTTTCTTTCTTGTGCTGCAACATTACGTTGTGCCTATATTAGCATCAGAGTAGGGTCAAATCTAGATTAACAGGACTTGTGGGCAATGGGATAAATTATCCAGATAATTAAGAGTCAGGCTAATCAAAATTATTAAATTTTCAGCTCCAAAATATTGCATTTCCAGTGTTCCAATTGATTTTGCACAACAACAGTTATCAGCTCAAATTCCAATTAACTTTATATGGAAATGCATTGCATCAACTGTTGCAGGGTTGAAAAAAGGCTCTAAATATCCAAACTTCAGGATTTAACAAAACTAAATAAAACAATTTATTCTATTCATGCTTGTTGGATATGAGTTTAGTTATAGCCAACTCAGCACTACAAACCTTATTGACTATTTACCACGTCATATCCAATGTGGGCTCATGGAATAATTGATAAATATGAACATCTTTGAACCAAAAATAAAACCAAATATGTATTATTTAATCATTATTATGGAAGACGTAATTAAATGGACATTCTCAAATCATAACACTTCATTGTTAACATTTCCCAAAAGTATTAATTTTACAAAAGTTATTAATAAAGGCCATACAACATTTCAAGCTGCTACACTGTGCGCAAGTTACCAATTCCATCATTCTTTGAAGCTGAATTTGTGAAATAATGATTTGAAAAAGTATCAGTTATGAGAAATCAGCTTTTTACATCTCTGTTACCATCATTACTATGGTATTACTTTACAATGAACAAAGTTACGGATATCAAATGCATGACCACTGTTGTCTTGTATAGTTTCAAAGATAAAACTTGATTACTAGAGTTTACACTTTCCTCTATTATGGGGCTGAGAACTTGTGACAAAATAGGTGAAAAGTAACATTTGCAACCCTTCATGTAGGTCTATATTAGCCTTATAACTTATATTATTGTGTGTTTATCTTCTTGTGCAATGACAACACTGAAGCTACTCATTCAAAAATTCATCTATGAAGTGTCTCACACTACTTGTTTAGTTCTAGTTCATGTACATTACTTTGTATGTACAGGTTAACCACCAGTAAATACAGGAAAGAACACAAAAAGCACCTCTCTTCCTAATTTTTCTGAACTCCACATACACATGTTAAAAGAATGAACTCAAATTACAAAAAAGGTTTCTACTTGCTACAATTGTGTATTAATAAAAACTTACATTTTCGGTTACCTAACAATTGGACACTGTAAAAGTTTCTCAAACTGGTTTTGTCATTTTCTTATTGCATAGAAACCCTTTAGCCTCATGTAACAACTGGTTGACATCCTCCTTGCCATTATCATCACCTTGTACTGGCTGCCAATCAGGGTCATCAGACCCTGAGTAGCTACTACCATCCTCCTTAACATCACTGGCATCATCAGCTAAGAAGCTGTCATTGTAATCATATGTATTGTGCCCATCATCATCACTTGTGCCATCAAGGTTTTTCCTTTTCTTTGTTGTTTTATGTTTGGGACCTTTTTAGATAAATGAGAAAAATTTCAGTGGAAAACTGTTACAGTATTAATATATGCAATCCAAACTCAATCAAACTTATTTTCTTTTAGCAAGATTAAAACTAATCCCAGACCAAATATCTCAGCTAATCTTTATCATTTCTGCTAGAATTGGTTGGCATCATAATTGAATCAAACTAATTTCGGGCAGTTTCTATTTGGATTATTACACCTACATGTAGCTGCTGAGGACATACCAAACCTAATCAATGCAGCATGGCATATCATGACACTTCCCAGCCTACCTACGGCATCAGTGTGTTCGAAATCTTTTCTGTGTTGAGGGTTCTGCCTGTAACAACTGGAGCCATAAGGACAAACAGGTCTGTAATCATCACTATCATCTCCAGCCACTTTATCATCATCATCATCACTACTATCCTTGTCAGGGTGCAAATACTCTTTGAAATGCAAAGGATTTTTCCTGTTTTGAGGAAACAATATCATTACTGTGTATTGTTTTAGATGTAGTGAACTCATACCAAACATTTTCCTACCATGCATCAAATGAGTTTCCTAACAATTACAAAATTTCATTGTATCTGTTCATGATTACACCTGTCCATCACTAAAGCATGGATACATGAAGTAAAGCTGGCCACACCAGCACTCGAAGGTCTACAAGTACATCCCTGCCTCTATTTGAGGAGTTATGTGGGTTCTTTCACATTCCATAATGGTTACAGGTGCAGTCTGGACAGGCAGGGTCAGTAACAGAAGGGAGCTCAAAATGGTTTTCTTTTCTTTTTTTGAAAAATTATTTGTTGAAAGGTAGCTTTCTTTTTTCAGTTTGTAATTCTTCTTGAGACAGGTGGTAAAAACATGCTCAATAATACCTAATTATTTCTCAACAAAATGTGATCATCTAAGTTTCCCATTGCAGCAAAACAGTCTCTAATAGTCATGCACCCTTATTTTTTAGCTTCATGTGCCTGAAACTCCTGAACGAGTTGATTACCCTGTTTTTTGTAACTGAAGTGCAATGAGCACTTCAAGATATATTTATATCTTTCTGCAAATTTTCAGCCACCATACATATTTTAATTATTGAGCTGGCTCTGAACAGTATTCACATTTTTCCAAGTGGGGCAGAAAGATGAATTTAACAATCTATACTGATAACAATTCAGTGATAAAGAAATGGAGATCACCAAGTTCCTTAACATCATCAAAGCCAGGAACAAATGAAAAGGAAAGAGAATTGATTTATCAAAGTATTAACTACACTGTAATTCAATATGGGTCAAAATAGTGTTGCCTATCACTATCATGATTATCTGAACTAAAGGAAAACTTCACAGTTAGCATAATGACATTCACAATTTTTTTTTCACACAGGATTTTTCATGTGGGTTTACAAGTGTCAACTGAAAAGCTTAGTGAAACAGTTGCTTTTCCAAATCACCTAATGAAAAGAAAGTCTATAAACTTTAATGCTATTTTCAAAAAGTTAGGCCACCAATAATTGAAATCAGCAATCTTAACCTATAGTCAGCAGACTAACACTTAGTGTATAAAATAATAGGGCAGAAAAGTAAAAAATGGAGCAAGCATTCTATTTTTATCTCTGCTAAACAAGATGAATAATTATCAAATTTGTGATCACAGAGGGTTTCCTTCTTCACAAGATTTAAGGAAATAATTCAAGGTAAATTTATATCTGTACAACTGAAGAAATGCAATGTGTAAGCTATATAGCAACACTGTTTCTATTGTTAAAATTGATTTACTCATGCACATGCTCTCCTGAAATAAACTATTACTTTAATCATGAAAACACCATCAAATTCTTATTCACTTAAAAATAATTCACTGTTACAATAAGTATATAAACAAAGCACCTTAAGGAGTGCTCAGCTGGAAATCTGGTATTGTAAAAATGAGACCATTAATGATCAAGAAAGTCAAATACATTGTAAAACTAATAATTTTCAATCCCTAAATTAAGATAGCAGCTTCAATTGGTTTCAGTAGCTTGGTAGATATACCTGTAGCATTTCTTTCCATAAGGACAGGGTGGAAGTTTCATTTTGTCTGATTCTTTTTCATTTTCCTGCAAAAGAAGAGGGAAAAACATTACAACCGTAGAACTGTTGGTAACGGCTTAATTTAAAAACCTTAGCATCAGTTAATTAGGATTCTACTATAATAAATAATTTTTTTAAAAAAATATTGTTTCCTCTTCAAAAAAATACAGGTCTCATACAACAGCACCTTTTCCCTGCCCCATAGCCATTTTGGAGAGGCTCAACTGGTAGCATAATTTTTCATGCCGTCTACAGAGCAAAAAATGTTTAATAGTTTGTCTAACAATACATGTATGATGTATGTAGTCACTATTGAAGAAATGTAAAATGGTTTTCATGTTTACATAGCCTGATGTAAACACGCGGGAGGTTGGGAGAACACGAGATAAGCGTGGAAAACCACAATGCAAAGCTGACTGGTTTCCAGCTTATCGAGTGTTCTCCCAACCTCCCAAGTACTATACTTAAACAAATACATGGACTAGTAATAGTGTGATACAGTTGGAAAAATACCTTAAATAGAGAGAAAATCAAAATTATTCATCTACAATTAGTTGCCTCAAAAATATAATTCTGCATAATTTTACTATGAAAAGCAAACTGAAACTCTATTGTATCTCCAATAGACCCTATCCAAAGATATACTGCGATCTTGAATAAAAGAAGATACATTGATCAAAAGAAAAGGATAATATTTTAAAGAGTGCTTCTTGATTGCTTATTGCCTACCTGGACTTTGCCCTCCATGTGTGAAATACATGATAAAATGCAGGTTGTTCACAAGAAATTAACATGCGATTGAATTAAGTCCAAGGTAGCTAAAAGCCAATTATATTCATCGAAATAGTCAAAATGTGGGAGAACTGCGAACAAAATTTACTATTACTTGACAAAATGGAATTTGATTTGTAGTAAACAACTCAAGCACCTGAAAAATTGTCAAATGTTCATGTAGTGATATGATTTGGTATGTTCTGATTGGACTTTAGATGTTGTTTTCATGGTACGTAATGGAATGTAAGTTGTTTGGCATGCGAGTTGTGAGTAAAGGAGTGGAAAAAACACCTTTTAACTTAATAATGATACAAAAAGGTTAAATGTGAACCTTTCATATCCTGATAAATCTTGACCCTAAGCAACGAGGCTCCCATGAAGGCCACAAACCATTACACTTATCAAAATTAGCCCAAAATTTATGGTTTACATCATTCTTTGTGCACAGCCCCCTGATTCCAAAAGAAAGCTGTGATATGATTGGTGAGAGATATATACCTTAATGCGGCAATCTGATTGGTGCCAGATACATACCCAAATGCAGTGATCTCATTGGTTTGAACAACATACCACTCTACAAACTAACATAGTTTTTTTTTTTAATAACAAAAAAATGTCACTTCAGTACAGGACCACAAAGCTGTGACTTGTACTTGGCCACTAAAGTCATTGATCAAACAGGACTGTTCAAAATCAGTTGTGATCATGCTTCATATAATAACTCCCATGAAGGATTAGAGAACCTTAAATCTTCAGCTACTGTTGCAGCCTGTTTCCAAAACAAACTGGAAAAGGCTTGGAAAACTGTGGAGGACTTGAAGGATAATTTTTAATACTATCCAAAATGTTAAAAAACTGTATCACACGAGTTTCCAGAATACCACAATTCAAGATTAATTTTACCCAAATACCATGAGAAATTTTGTGATACCACAATACAGCACACCCCAATGTCCCCCTCAAAGTAGAGGACAGTTTCTTGTTTTTTAATGATGCTGCAAAAATGAATTACCACCTCTGATCATAAAAAGGCTAGATGAGATCACTTAGCATAAACAATAATAAACACCCATTCATATTTCAGTGTTGGCCCATAAAACTGGGGAAGGGAAGGAAAGAGGGTGCCTATTCAGGGAGGGAAGGGCACTTGTTTTAAACTTTCTCAAACAGGTTGGCGACTTATTCAAAAGGGCTGCTGATTAAAGAGGAAGTACCAATTTTTACCTTCATTTGGGTTCTTTCTACTTTGGATGCAGACATCTCATCATCACTTCCACCAGTATCAGTATCTCCTGAAAATGTTTTACAAATATCCTTCTTACTTTTCGGTCCTGAAGGCTCGTTGTAAACATCATTTTCATTCCCTAGTATTCTGCTTGTTCTTGTTTTCTTGCTTTCTGTGGGTTTGACATCTTCCTCATTGTCTTCAATGCTTGTAGATGATCTTTTCTTTGCAAATTTGTTCTTTCCTCTATCCTTCAAATGCTCAGATTCATCATCATCCCCCATGGTAAAATCCTCATCTATGCCTGAAACCTTCTGTTCCTCCTTCGCTAACAATTTTTCCCTCCAAGTGATTTTGTTTCTTTCTTTGTTATCTTCAAAGTAAGAGAGTGAACAATGAAATTTTGGAAATCAAGTGATGACAGTATGAATAGACCATAATAAGTAAATAATAAGGAGGTCACTGAACATGGTTTTAAATTTCTTACTCTATTAATTATTTGCTTAGCTATTTTTTTTTGGCATACAATATTACAGATTGAACAATTTTGCCTATTGCAAAATCATAATGTCAGGTGCTGTTTTTTTTTAATTACAGTTCATGTAGGTATGTAATTTACATTACAAGCCACCATACAGTAACGTAACAATAGGCAAGAAGTAATTGTAAAAGGACTGAGTGGAGTCCAATTTGGTCTGTAACCATACAAGTGATAACAAAATCAGACCTCCACACAGCAGGAGTGTGATTTGTTTGTCACGAGTATGATTACAGACCAAATTGGACAACACAAAGTCTTTGTACCAATTAATCATAAAAATTAGAATTTCTAGGAAAAGAAGAATAGCCAATCTAAGAAGGAAAGGGAAAATTGCATTAAAGACTGACAAATGCCTCCCTGAAATTGACAAAAATCAAAATATCTTTTAAACTATTGTCATTGTTCAAGGGAAAAAATTGCTCCATTTTGTAAGAAGCCCCAATTTATGAATCTGTACACTGTTTCTATGGTGATTGAAACCAAGGTTGTAATCAGCTAATTTGAACTAAAAATTTAAAATTAATGTAATTGGTAGATTTAAACTAAAACTTTGAATGTGTTTGGCATATTGAACTGCTCTGATAACAAACTGTTCGATAACAAACTGCCTGATAACAAACTGTCTGATAACAACTTGGCAAGTGAATTACTACATGGAAAATAGGAGTTTTTTAAACTAATCACAATCAAGGAAATTGTAATTTTTATGATTAAGCAACTTATTTTGTTAAACATAAGAAATTATTCATTGAAATGTTACATGCAATAATTTGAATCCAACAACTTAAAGAAGACAGCACCAGCCTGAATAATAGACTTCTAGGGGGTAAATTCACTCTACAACTATTACCTGCGGCTGTTTTCTTCTCTACATTTTGGCTAACCAAAGTTCTCCCTCTCCTGTTAACTGAATTCTTAGCAGGAGATTTTATTTGACTTGTTGACTCTATTAACCATGAGGGTAGTTTGCGTGTCTTTTGCAGCAAAGGTGCAGGCTCTACCAATGGTCTGTATGGTGGTATCACATCTTTTTCTATCTAAAGAACAGAGTTCTAGGCCTCTTAGAAAAGTTATGTACATGTGTGTTTAATCTAGTTTAACATATATTATTGCAAATTATAATTAGATAACAAGACTTAATACACATTTTGAAATATTTGATTCACCACAACAGATAACTCAATCAAAGTAACAAAATTACACTTTGTGCTTTCATAAGGGCTGATTGCTTTAAAGATTCATCGATTTAATTTAATGATAATCTACTGATACCTACCACAGAGAAGGAGGAATTAGCTGTAATTGTGTCTTGATTGGATGGTTTACTGCTTGTGAAGTTCACATTGGCATGTTTAGTAAATGCATCAGCAGAAAATGTTCCTAAGGAAGGCTTAGTATTCATGAATTCATCCAGCAACATATCTGCAAACAATATCAGAATAATTAAAAGTAATGTTATACCTCAGTCTTAAAGCTACAATTATAAAAGTTTATAGACATGATTTCTACAAGAATATAATTGTTTTAAAAATAAAAATGTCATTTAATTTTATAGTTCATTCAAAAGAAGTCCAGGATCCTGAAAAATTTATTGAGGACCCTCTTTCATCTGTAGTGATATCATTTTTTTGTGGGTCACAAAAACCAAACCTAGTGAAATTGGCCTAGCTCACCAGAGTCTCTGAAGCTCTGTGGTAGAGGGTCAGAATATATAATCCAAAGGCCTGTTGTCTGATATCTCATTGTTTCACACATAATAAGGACAAAAACATTTTTCTTCACTTTTTCTTGTTTTTAATTCTTCAAACCACTTTTATCACTTATTTTTTCCCATGTCAAATACCTAAAATTTTAATCAACTATAAACTGATCCCCCACTTCTCAACTCCCTTCAAGTTCTTGAAATACAAAATACCCAATGCATTACTCACTAGCAATACAGCACCTGTGGGTGTGTCTGATGATTTTGTAGGTTTTTCCTTATCATGAGCCTTGTTTGACTTAGTAAGAAGCTTATCTAACATCTTATTCTTGGAGATTCCCACTTGTTCTTCTGTTACACCATTCTCAAGTGAGTCTCCCTGACAAACAACCATAAAGCACACGCTGTCTGGAAGCAATGCAATAACATCACCATCAATCAGGACTCTGGTTTTGCCTTTCTTCAAACTTACAAACTTCTTTCCATCAGAAGATTTCAAGAAGGTTGGATTGATGTGAAGCTAAAAGGTAAGGAATAACTTCAATCATAATGAATCATCACCAATAAATAACCAGTCAACCTTTACAACTGCCATCCACACCTTGCCTGGAGTTGGTCTAAGAAGATTGCTGTCTGAATATTGTTTACTGGTATGACATTTGGCAGCAAACTGAGAATCTCAAATAATAACTCATTAATGCCCATTTACAGAGGTGCCAAAGTTTGGGAATCTAAAATCTGGAGCTGTTTGGTTTAGGATCACCTCTTCCCCCAAACCCCTGAATCTTTTCCCAGTCTCTTCTCATGAACTGAAGCCTCTCGAGTACACCTAACAAATAACCCCAAAGGTTGGAAAAAAATAACCATACAACCATCCTTAACCAGAAACCAAAAAATTTTATGAATAGGCCAGGATACAATCTACATAACTTCCTTACTTTAATGGAAAAACAATGATATATCCATGAGATTTACAGAACTGTAAAAGAGTCCAGGTGACTGGTTCTGCACACCAGAAGGAGACATGGTGTACATGTATATGCATGTGGGAAGCAATTCAGTACTTTAGATTTGTTGCTTTTCCCATTTGGGTATTCAGCCAGGTAACAGAGTAAGATAAAGTTAAGATGAAGGGAAAAAATTTAACATGGAGTCACATCTGCTCTAATCCCCTATCATCATATTTAGCGAATAAAAAATAATTACTTTAAAAAATTCTTACAGTGTGTGAGGAAAAAACTATGATGGCTAACAGAAAGGTGAAGGGTGAAATAATGTGCGATAGGGGTGGGCATGGGGTAAAATCGCCGGGATGTGCATTGTCTTGTCATCTGTATTATACTGAGAACATAGTAAAAGTATTTTTTTCCAATGTTAGTGATATATTACTCTAGGACTACTGAATGATGTAAAAGTACTGTGATCAAGTAACATAATTGAACCAGCTTATTAGATACTTGATCCATGAATAAAGATAGATTTCAGAAAGCAATTAAAGAGTGAGTGTCTCCTCTAAATGATTAGGCAACAGTCATCACTTAGCTTAATCACTTACGGGCAGAATAGTAAGATTTTCATCTTTCACCTCCAGTACTGCATGCGATCTAGACACTCGTTTGTCTGTCACCTGTTGGAAAAGAATAAATAGATATGGTAAGTATAGCTTGAAGAGAACACGAGGCGAATTTCTAAAGAACCAACTCAAAATGTTGCTATGTTTTTGCAAATCCTACCCCAAGTAAAGGACCTCTTCCGATCGTGGTTTTGCCAAAGGGAACCACAATGTCCTTTTCGCCATTTAGAGGTCTTAAGTAAAAGGAAGACATTTCTATTGTAATCTCATAGTACTAGATTAACAATTGCTCAACTAAAAAGTTGACTTAAAGCTAAGTGCAATTTTAAATTATGTCTGAAAGCGTTTCATGTTATTGTTATTATTATTGTATAAGTGAGCCCGCGATCTTCGTTAGATTGGGGTTTAGACATGTCGTTCAGTTCTGATTGGTTAAGATCAATGCAGTTTTCAGGTCATTCAGTGCAGAAGAGAGTTAATTCAGTGCAGAAGAGGGTTAATTCAGTGCAAAGAAAGTAACAAATCAGACATTTTGATTGGTCAACAATCAAAGAAACTCATTGACAGCCAATCAAATCCTTGGGGCGAGCCTTGGATGCCGCGACAAAATTTGAAAATTTGTAAATTTGCGAGTGAAACGATGGCTGGCGTTTTAGGTAGGTTTTCTTTCGCCACCGCGGCTGAAAAACAGCTCAAATAACAAAAACACTGTAAAAATCACTTCTTTTTGGTTGTCGGTTTGGAAAAAGTGGTGTTTAGAGAAGGGAATTGCCAAGGAAATCGAAAATTACGAACCGACCCAGCTTAACACTTTGTTCGAGTGATCCAATGCTGAAATTAAAAACAAACATGGTTAAACTTAGGAAACGACGATTCCATTTCATCGAAAGTGATTCGGACACGGACTGAACAACTCCTTGAACTGTTTAGCCGGACTTTGAACTTTTTTGCGTCTTAAAGATGTGAAGATATCATTGCATATTATTGTTTTGACTGAACGCACGATTTGAATAAATTACTTTTGCACTTGATATACGCTCTTGGCTTATGCTTAATTATGATAGGCTATCTCGTATTTTTTCATGTTTATTATTAACACGTAATCACATGATTTCTCTCGTGCAATTTGGAATAAATAAGCACTTGTTAATTTTTTCAAATATCACAAATTGCACTCGCCCTACGGGCTCGTATAATTTTTTTAGTCTT